GTAGTCTGTTTCGCTTGTTTTGGTGGCTTGTATTTACCAATACCAAGTTTATTAGAAGTAACAAAATCAGAATCAACAGATTTAGAGTTCAAAGAGACATTGGTTTGACAGTTAACAGAATTAACAGAATTAGAATTATTTATGTTCCCCTTTTTTCTCGTCTTGCACTACTTTACCTGCACATGAAGTAGAAGCATTAGTATCATTCACCTCAATATTCTCATTTGGGTCGGATTGTTCAGTTTTAACTGAAGTTGGTACAGGGGCGGGCCAAACTGAGCAGGTATCTATACCTCATTGGATTCAAGGGGCGGGGTATAGTTATCATTGAAGGGAGGTGGAACACTGTGATACCCTAGACCCTTATTCTGGTTATCTTTAAATTTTAATTGTTTTTTCAATCATGGACTCAACTTTCTTACTTGACACATCAAACTTTTTAAAATTAAAGTCTGCATTTTAAAACTTATTTTTTAATGTGTTAAGCTCGGCAGTTAGACTGACAATCTTTTCTTGAGCATAGTGATAGTGTTCACATTTAGTGTTGTATTCTTCTTGAAGTTTTCTAAAGTCCTTGGTTTAGGCCTCTAATTGATTTTTCAAGGGTTTTTGGTCCTTTCTGATAGTATATCATTCATATTTAAGGTCCTCAATTACCCTAATTAATAGCTCATGTTGATCACGATAATGTTTAATTTTAGCTTCACAAGACTGAGAGCATAAGTTTTCACTTACTTTGGTGATTGAAGAACTCATTATTCACCAAAAAGAATAACTTACCAAAAATAGAAGTGATTTTGAAAACAAGAAAAAGCCCCTTTGACTTGAAACCTCGAAAGTCAAACTTGAAAGTCAAACTTAAAAAGTCAAACTTGAAAGTCAAACTTAAAAAGTCAAACTTGAAAGTCAAACTTAAAAGTCAAAACTGAAAGTCAAATGTCAAATTTGAAAGTCAAAAGTCAAACTTGAAAACTTGAAAGTCAAATGTCAAATTTGAAAATCAAAAGTCAAACTTGAAAGTCAAAGATGAAATTCAAAAATTTTGTCCAAAAAGAATAACCTTGACCGAAAACGAAAATTTCTAGACCGAAAACGAAGGTTTTGGACCAAAAACAAGACTTTTGAGCGAAAATTAAATTTTTGGACCGAAATCGCGAGGCCTCTCAACCAAACCGAGAAGGCTCGTACCGAGAACAGTGGACCGAAATCGCGATGCTTCTAATTTTGACCGAGAAGTCTCGCACCGAAATCTCTGAACCGAGATCCGAACCGAAAACGTGCGAGCAGTAAACAACCGACCAAGAACTCCGAGGCTTTGGACCGAGAACGAGGCCGAGGACTTCGCTGCTGACCGTGAACGCTGCTGGCTCCGAGATCTTCTAGGGTTTGACCGAGGATCGAGGACAGCCGCCGGTATCTCGCAAATTTCGACCAAAATCACCCAAAACTTGACAAAAACACGGGATTTTCAAAACTTTAATGCCAAACTCGATCAAAACTCCAAAAATATGAAGAACACGAAAATCAAACAACCAAAAATTCGTCCAAAACAATTCAAAAACACCCGGAAATCCAAGAAAAAATCCAAGAAACTCTTAATATCTTGCCAATTCGATTAATACCGATCCAAGCTATGATACCAATTGTAAAACCCAAAATGCTACGATGTATCAATCGGATTCACTTGATGGTGCGGAATCCCAATCAAGTGAATTAGACAAGACGAAATATAGAATAAGAACAAAATGATTAATCTTCAATGCACACTATTATTGAATAGTCGGGTACATAAGATTCTTGATTACACTTGATTCTCTATTGATTTCACTTCAAAACACATTCTTAGCTTATGGCAGCCCGCAAAACGTCCCACACTCTTTACAAGGCTCAAATGACACTATTTATACCTAGACCTAATAACCAATGCCCAAGCCCAAAACCCAAACAAAACAATATAAAGCCTAACCGAAATCACATGTGATTTCGGTCCAAACAACACCAAAACACGGTGTTTGCGGTCCTAGACCGAGAATTCTAAAAGCTTATGAAAAGCAAAGTATAAACCACAATTTATGACCTAACATACCTTGAGGATCACAAATGGCCGCCAGGCCAAGGTGGAGACTCCTATAGTAAAGGAGCCGAGCTTTTCCTCCTCCCAAACTACTATTCCTTCTCGTTTTTCATTTTTTATTTCCCCCATCTCCAACTATATTATTTCAACTTATTTAATGTTTCAATCTAGCACGACATGACATATTTAGAATTTATAAACCCTAAACCTAGCAACCTGATACGAACTCGACACCAAAATAAATGGGTTAACATTATACGAAATAAAACAGGCCAGGTTAGAGTCAAACTATCTTAACCCCGTTTAAGTTTCAACGCGATACAACATGACACATTTGTCACCCTTAGCTAAAATATACCTCTGGAGTGTTTTTATGATGCATGACACATTTTAGCAAAAATGTGTAATTTACTGGAAATTTTACTATGGCGGGTTTGAAGATAATTATTTGTTCATGAGTTTGAAATTCGAAAAATAAACTAGGAGATGAAATTTTAATACCTTACAAATTGCTTAGAGGGTCACTCTTGGACCACAATTCCATTAAGAATAAGACACACAATTCTATTAAAGTATTGTCGAATAATTTATCAGATGATGGCTACAATTTTATATATTAAAGTAATTAAGGAGACATAACATGAGATGTCAAAAGGTTGATTCATATGTTTTCTAAAACTAGAATACGTTCTAAAGTGAAGTGTTTTTATAGACGTAGACAGTATTTACGAAAATTGCAATTGCATTGTCTTATATGTGGTAGAGATCACATTGCAAATGAATATAGTAGCACTAGACGAATATCCGCGCGTTGCGCGAAATAAAATTATACGGTTAAATTTTTTGTAATCATACGTTATTGAAAATATTTATATCATTTTCATTAACTAAAATAATAATAATTGCATTTAGTTGATGCAAAATTATTATTAATTTGCACAATAAATAATATAACAGTTATTAAATTCAAATCATTTAATGGTCTCTACTCATGCTTTATGTATGTATAAAATTAGTTGTGGTGACTTAGTAAGACATGTGGAAGATATGATGAATAAATTATTGACCCATATTTAAATTATCGCACTACTCCAGGGCATGATGCATAGCCTTATATTTACATCGATGGGTTATTCGGGCATGAAACCCTCGTTAAGGAAGTTCTCTTTCCAAAAAAAAATAGTTATAGTACTCACTATTTTAATTAACTATTGTTATAATTTATTAAATTGTAAATTTTTTTGATGATGTTTTAATTTCATCATGAATATTATTTAAATTATCAACCACTATTCGTAATGTAACATAATTTATTTTATAATTTCATGTTATTTTTAACTACTATTATTATAAATTAATTTAAAAACAACTTAATTGAATTTTAGTTATTATATTTATGGTATTTAGTAATTTCCTTTCAACTATTTTAAAAAACATATGTTGGATTTTTATTACTTTAGTTTTTAAACTTTATACAATATTTTTAAGTTTGTTTGATATATTAATTTTGGTTATGCATTAACATTATATTGAAGTTAACAAATTTAGTATTCCATATTGATAATTCAAAAAGTCTTCAATTTATGATAATGTTTATAATTAACAACATATTTAAGTTAATAAATTAAATATATTATGTGGAAATATGAAGAGTTAGGAGTTTCAAAATGATGTGGTAAAAGAAAAAATGTTCCCTAAATTATTTAAATTATGAGCCACTGTTTGTAATGTAACATAATTTAATTTACAACTTTATGCTATTTTTATTTATTATTATACATTAATTTAAAAAAAACTTAATTGAGTTTTAGTTATTATAAAAAATAGTTTTTCGACATCTTTTCGTTAATTCGACTTTTAGATTTAAGATTTTTTTATATTTATCGTATTTAATATTTTTCTTTTAACTATTTTAAAAACATATATGTTGGATTTTTAAAACTTTATTTGATATTTTAGTTTAGGTTTTAATTTTTAAACTATATTTTTAAGTTTATTTAATATATTAATTTAAGTTATGTATTTAACACTATATTGAAGTCAACAAATTTAGTATATCATATTGATAATTCAAGAAGCCTTTCATTTATGATAATGTTTATAACTAATAACATATTTAAGTTAATAAATTAAGTGAATTATATGGAAATATGAAGAGTTTGGAGTTTTAAATTGATGTGGTGAAAGAAAAAAATACTTCCTTTATAGTATACTATGATATAATGATATGATGATGATACTTTTTAAGTTGCATAGCTTGAAATAAACTTCATAAGCAGAATTTTTCCGACAAAAATTTTTCGATGGAAAAAATATGTCGAAATTCTCTGATAGAATTCCTATAGGATGGTGACAAAAAATAAAATCATAATTTAGCTCCAAAATACCGACGAAAAATAAAGTAAAATATGTTTTTATTATGGATAGTAAATATCAGATACATTGCTAATATAGATGAAATCAAGTTATTGCTAGTATGGATTATATATATATATATATATATATATATATATATATATATATATATATATATATATATATATATATATATAGTTATGTAAACATATAAAATTGATTGCTATAATAGATAAAAAAAAATATATAGTATGTTGTTTTATGGATTAAATTGATAATATGTTCTTTCAAGTAAAGTACACTGCTATTATAGTTTAAAAGTGAAATAAATTTACTAACTATATGTACTATATATTTGTGTTACTATTTTTTAGGTACAAAAGTTGTGAGTACAACTTCAAAGCATAGAAAAAGCCATCCATCAAACTCAACTTGATATACAAAATGAGATGGAACTAAGACAAACTCAATTGTGTTTGCGAACACAACAAATGCACCTCAACAAGATATATGTCAAATTTATATACATATTAAAAAGGACCAAAGTAAGGAATAGTGACCTCGTGCTAATTTGCGTAGGAATCGGAAGTCTTTTTGACCATTTTTGAATTTCTATCTGCAGTCACCGCCTCTGTAACCCAATCATATTAGGATCAGTGTGACCAGGGTCACCGCCTTGATTTCGTTATCCTTTCAGTACTTTCAATTACCCTTCCGTTCTCACTCTTCGTATCCACCGCTTCTCGCTTCCTCTTCACCACCGATCCAGACTGACCCGTTTTTCTACTTGCTCCATGTAGGTTTTTCCCTGCTTGCGTTCTGACCTCCACCGCCTCCTCTCACTTCCGCTGTCGTGCTTTGGAATTCCGGTAGCTAATCTTATCGGCTTCCTCTATCCTTCATTGACACACATCTCCACCGCCTCATAGTAGTCGGTTGGCCGAGGAAGTAGTGAGCCGGAGGAGAGGGAGGGTAGGGTGGCCTGTCTGTAACACCGGTGGCCATGTTACCACCGCTCCCCTCTTCTGCAATTTCTTGTCGGCCCAGTTGATTCAGAAAGGAAGAAATAGAGGTTTTATTTAACTGTGTTTTTAGGTGACCGCCTCAAATTGAGTAATATTGTTGTTCAAGATTGTGTGTGTTTTGAAAGACTAGAAAATAACGCCCAAGATAGAGAGACTGGACGAGGTCAAAAGGGAAGCAGGAAGAAACAGAAGGTTCGTCGGATCATGAATCCGACTTCCAAAATTGCAGTTTCGATTCGTTTAATTTTTCTTTAATAATTGTTCTTGGAATTATCTATATACGTTTGTTTGTAAAGTATTGTGATTTCTGGGGCATGTATCAGGTTGATGGAAGTCACATCGGTGCTCATGGAACTCTTGAGATTCAGGTTCGTTGCGAATCCCTCTCTAATTCATCTGCTCATTATCCCTACGTTTTTATATCAGGTATGTGTCGATTACTCCCTGAATTTTGTTTTGCTTTTATAACTCATGGCAACGAGACTACCTGTTATAGTTACTACAGCATTCAAGTTTGTGTGTAACTGTTGATTAACATTACAGAAATTTAAAGAAACTCATAAAGCAAAGTAGGTGATCCATAAAATGCCTGAAAAATAAAAGATTTTTTTTAAATTGTCCTTTGTTGATTTGGCTATGCCCTTGATAATCAACATATGTAAGGATAATGTTACATATAAATATATACATATAAATCCTAAAATTTATTCCATAAATTATATTTCAGTCTCATCGGAATCAACAAATAAACCCCTTTCTAAAAGGTTTGAATGGCTAATAAAATACCTGATACACACCAAACATAGTCGTATTCGTTTGTGTTGTATTGGTCTTGGATAAGAATAGAATCAGAATCCCGAAACATCATGGAGTAACACAATAACAGGAAAACACAAAGGGTATAACGGTCTTTACATTAACACAAACAAAAAACTTATGTGTAGTTAGAACAACAGTTTTTTTTAATAGGGTAGAAGATTATATAAATCATGTGATCCTACTAATTATATATGGCCTTCGAATTCATTATCTTCCAATCTAATTGTACTATAATAATTGCTATTTTTTTGCTTAATTGTAACTCATTGATTTCATCATTTAGATAATGAAATATTCATCCGCTTACTGAGGGCTCCCAGTTGAGAATCAAAACACAGCGGTTGCGATGACAACACTGAGGAATCATTTCAATCGAACAAAGAATTTCCCTTTTGTGAAGAGAATTTCAGAGTTCCATGTGTTGCTTTTGTTGTTCTTGGCTGATGGATTTGAGTCTACATGTCAAAAAAGATGTGAAAAGAGTTGCAGGTTAAGATGGAAAACAAAGATCATTATCGCAATTAACAGCAACATCTGATTCATTAGTAACATAGACAGCACTAACAATCCATTGTAGTGTTCGGTTTAATTTGTTTCTGATTTCAGAAATCTTAAATTTAAGTTTTTTGTTTTATTTAGGGGACAATTTATCAAAGGGATGTTAATCACATTGAAAACCGTAGACCAAAGGTTACAGTTTATATTTATTTGTTTCATAACCTAGACCAATTTTCAACAAGGGTAAGTATGAATGTATTATCAGTTTACAAATTTTTGCTGAAATTATTTTGTTTCTATGGTAACATGTGTTTTTATTATGGTTTATTTCAGAATTGGAACATATTCTCCCTGACATCCTCAACCAGGTCCATATATCTCATTATTTTCAATCAGATTTCATTTTTAATTTTTGCTGATAATATCAACTTTGTTTTTTATTTTTTTTATTGTAACTGGACCAGATAATATGGGTAGGTTCAGAAAGTTAGCAAGCAGAGAACTTCCAGAGGCGATGAAACAGTCCTTACATACATTAATTACAGTTTTTTTTTTTTCAATTAAATTACAATTTTTTCGGTGTTTTTTTTCGTATAAAGGTCGAAAAAAATATTTTTTTCCGGTCCTTATTCGAGTTTTTTTTAACGTTTTTGGTCCCTGTCCTATGTTTATTTAATTATTAAATTGTGGAGGTATCCCTGCACTTATTGGTTTTTTTGTTACTTGGCTCCTCCATGTTATCTGTTTTTTTTAATTACATTTATGGAATGCTCATTATACGTTTGTTGAAATCTATGTTGTAGGTCCGACGAATAATTAGAAGGTTGGTTATGAGAATATATGTGTCTCTACAAGTAAGTGTGTGGTGCAAAAAAAGGAAGATCGTGAACAATGAAATAGGAAAAGGTAAAAAACTTTATTTGTTAACTTTGACTTTTACGTTATACAACACGTTGGATTTAAATGTATAATATATAAAAAAAAAATATAAACCATTGCATATATAATCCTTTTTCTCATAAAAAAATAATTAAGGGTTCAACAAAAGGATTTTAGCACATTTACTAATATTTAGTAATACAAACTCCCCTGTACATTTGATATTTCTAACCATAAGAGTGATGTTGTACTTTCTTAAAAATAAACTGGGCAAATGTAATCTATCATGGGATATTTTCTTTTAAATATGTCAAATAAATAAAATAAACAAGTCAAACCATATGAAAGTAATCTAATAAAATAATGAAATAGTTACAAGTTTCAAAATCGTTTTATTACAAAAAAGCATCCTAAATTATTTTATTAAAAAGTTAGTTTAAACTTCAACATTGCCCAAAATATAATGTGTTTTATGTAGTTTCCCTAATAATAATTGTGTTTAATATAAATAAAAATCAAAAAATTTATTCAACTTTTATTACCGAATTCCAATTTATTTTATCAATTCAGAATATACCCATTGAATCATGATTTTTTCTATTTGGCTTTGTATTCTTTTTGAAGTTCTCATGGTTTTCCTTCTCCTATAAAGTTAAAAGCAAATGGCCTGATTATTTATCTATACATGTGTATTTTTGCTGATTCAAACCCAAATCAGTTTGCACTTTTCACCCTTATTTGAGGTTCTCTTACCCTTTCATTGTGTTTTATTTTTTAATTTAACTTTTTTATTAAAAACTTAATGTAAATAAATAGCAAACTACTTTTATTTCCTGTTAAGCTTCTGTAATAAGGTGATGGAAGCGGTGACTTGCAACAGAGAACTGGAAATTATCAGAACAAAATGGCGGTGGGGGATTTTGATCCTGAAGCGCTATACGTGGTGGCAACATCTGAGGAGAACATGTGGAACAATTGACACTTTACACCATTGGATAATAAGATTGCCACACTAAGATGATAAATTATGTGTCTTTTTGTATTTACAAATCACTTAATGGCCTTATAATATTCTTTTCAAAGCCGTTTGTGGTAAATTTCGGTGATATGCTGGAGCAATGGAGCAACTGTATTTTGGTATAAGTACATGTTATAAATTTGCATGGTTTTGACTTTTAAGAGCAAATGAATATTTAACTTTGGTTATCTAGAATGAGTGGAAAAGTAATATACAAAATGTAAAAAAAAAAAAAACAAAACAAAAAAATTAATTTTTTCTTTTTTGGGTTAGCAATGTTGCTACATTTTTTAAACAAGATCCACAAAAATCTGTGTCTTAACTTATCATTTTAAAGCATTGTAGTTGCAAAATCAATTAATTACAGCATCATATTTTTGTTTTTATTTATTTTTGAAATATTCGGTTTTGAAAATCTACTAATTATGTCATCCTACTTTCACATCTGACCCCGCAACGCGGGGTCACTTACCTAGTTCAAATTAAAAAACAACCGTCGGTACTTGTGAGACAATTCAAACTACTCGGCAATCCATCAAATAATTCTTAGTTTTATATTTTTAAACATTTGGTTAAACACTTATAAGTATTTGACACTTTTATGGCATTAGGCAATTTTATAAGTGTAATGTATTGAGTTTTTTCTATATTTTTGGTAGAAAAATACAATTTTTTTTACAAACATTATTTTTTTTTATAGTTTTTCTTGTTAGAAAAAAGTATCTTTAGGGATGAAAATATCTATAACTAAAAATTAAATATTTGCATCAGAAATAGGTAGGAAAAAGTCAAACACTGTCAACCTGGTGTATATGTCTAAAATCCGCCAAAAATGTCAAAGGTGGTCAACCCATATCTGTCGGAAAATGGGTATTCTAAATACACCCGATTAAAAACCATCTTAAGAGTCAAAATGGTTTTGACTTGTCTTAATCCAATTTGATGGGACCGATGATTAATTTACATAGTAATAAGATGGGCAGTAGAAGTCTCGGTCATAGTGATGTCTTTATTACCGGTAATAAAGTAAATAAATAAATAAATAAAATATCTAACTTACTTACGTTTCCTTTATTAATTTATTAAATTTTTTATTTATGACCCTTGAACATATATTTACCTTTTAATTTACACCTTCAACTGTTAAATATTGGAATTGTCATATAATATATCAAATTTATTTTGCATACTTACATAATTCAATTTATTTTTTATCACTACATAATCAATTTTATTTTGTATAATATCTCAATTTATTATAGGGATTTTCATATAATATTTCTAACTTTTAAATTTCCTTTAAGTATTAATATTAGCGAGATATCAATCGGGCAACGAACCTAACGAACATGAATTAAGATTTGTTCATATTAGTTTATTTAACCTTAAACGATAAATAATGATCACGAACAATAAAAAACATAATATGATATTTTTCACAACTATAATAAATAAAATTATCATTTTCATTTACCACCGTTTTGTCAAACACTGTCGTATTTTAATTTTATTAATTATCAGAGACATCAACTACATGAATATTACAATTATTACGTGGTGCATTCGATGGAATATATGCATTAAGTCGAGCATTATACAATATTTATCATCTAGCAAAACGTTCAGGTCTGTGGTGACACCAAAGTGACAAAACTGTAGGCACTGGATGTGATTCTTGTAAATCAAGTTTTACGTAAAGGCCATTATGAACCAAGTCGATAAAAAATATGGCCATTATAAAAAATAGACGATTACACCATATGTAACAACCAAAATTTTCAAACAAATTTAAACTTTTTCGAATACAACACAAATCCATTAAGTATTACAAAAAGGTTCTCAATTAGTTTATTATCAGAGTATCCCAGAAACATCAACATAAAAATGAGGAGCGGTACGATCACGCCTTCGCCTTGCCACGATCTCCTGAAGTAACTGAAACAATACACTGAAACTGTAAGCCCGAAAGCTTATTGAGTTACCCCCAAAATACCAGCCACAGAACCATACACATATCAAATCATATCATAATACAGAACAGCCATGCATATCGAGTCTACAGTGTGACTGGTCCGCCCGCACCGGGCCTTCAGTCCACCTGGTCCACTCTCTGAGTCTACAATATGACTGGTCCGCCCGCACCGGGCCTTCAGTCGGTCTGGTCCACTCCCCGAGCCTCGGCACGTTTGGACCGCCCTCCTGGGGCCTTCTGCCTATCCGGACCGCTCGCTGGGCCTACAGTCTATCCGGTCCGCCCTGGGTATGTTGGCCTACAGCACAAAGCAGGACCCGCCTCAACCCAACCTCAGTCAAACCACCATGTGCACATAAAACAGTCAATCACATAATAATCCCCAGACAAACCGATCTATCAGATCAAACAGCATAACATCATCCTAACCAGGATACCGACCTAACCGGTCACTAACATAACATTACCCTATACACCAGAATACCGACCTTAACCAGGTCACTAACATAACATTACCCTATATACCAGGATACCGACCTCAACCAGGTCACTAACATAATACCATCCTAATTACCAGGATGCAGACATAGCAAATCAATACATATCAAACAAATACCCGGATTCCCATCCGATAAAGGGCCGACCTTGGTGCCTTAGACCCTGTTGATATAGTGAGGATAACGCACCTTGCAACTGCCGAACCGAATCACGAAAGCACAAACCCGAAGCACTGCCTCCAACTTCAACACCTATCATCATCAAAGATCCAAGACATAAATATCCAAAAATTACCATAATACCCCTGAAGGTCAAACTGGTCAAAGTCCACCTTCCTGATTGGCCCTACTCGCCGAGTCAACCCATTGACTCGCCAAGTTCCTAAACTCAGGAAACTCTCATAACACGACTCAACTCGCCGAGTCACCTCATGACTCGTCGAGTTCCACAATCTCCGAGTCTTAACCTGCCCAACTCACTGAGTCACCACTCAACTCACTGCTCTGAGTCTAACCAGAAGAGGTTTGGGGGGTTCTGCGTCGCGACTCGCCGAGTCCAAGAACAGACTCGCCGAGTCCACGACAAACTTCATCAGACTCGCCGAGTTATTCTTTCAACTCGTCGAGTCCAAACTCATCATCATATGTCTCGCCAAGTCACCCATGCGACTCGCCGAGTCACTACGCGACTCAATTCCTGAAACCCTAGCCCAACTCGCCGAGTCATCTCCCAGACTCGCCGAGTTCATACGTGCATTCCCATATACGAGAGATACAAGCTACTCCTTTGCTCCAAACAATAGATCTGGATCCCTAGAGTGCATTAGCAACATAAAGTTGCTACCTTTACGTGCTTCATGTCCTATAATTCCAAAAACCATGAAAGAAAGGAACTTAACTCATAAGGAAAGGCTTTTGCATAGCAACTAAAAGGGCTTTCTGCATGTATGATCCAAATAGAACTCAGATATGGAGTTTCAGCTCCAGATCTAACTCATGCACCAAGATCTCATCATATTATCTCCAAACAAACCCTAAAACTCCATGAAAGATGGATCTAGAAAGGAGAAACCCAAGGATAACGATTCATTACCTCCAAAACGACCTCCCACTGAAGAATAGACCGAATCTCCACAAATCTCCTTGATCCAAGCTCCTTGATCTTCAAGATCTCTCCACAAATTACTTATCCAAGCTCCAATTTGCTTCCCAAGGACTCTCACACACGAATTTAGGGTTTCTGGATCTCAAAGGGTGCTAACGGGGCTGAGGGGAGGACATTAAGTCCTTTAAATAGGGTGCAAACCCTAAGATTAGGGTTTTCCTCTTCCAGCACTGACTCGTCGAGTCCAGCCGCCGATTCGGCGAGTCAGGCCACTTAATCACGTGATCTACACACGCTCCGACTCGACGAGTTACAGCTCCAACTCGCCGAGTCCACCCTTTCCAAGTTACACTTTACACCCCCGGACTCTTGCTTCTGAACTTGGGATGTTACAATTCTCCCCCACTTAAATTAGGCTTCGTCCTCGAAGCCTGCCACAACATACAATTTCGGACAATACTCCTACAATACGGCTTCTGATCTCGAACCGACCCAAGTTCCTCCAAATACTACTATCCACCCCTATAAGATCCCACTCTTCTCCTTCAGAGTCCTGACAACTGATTCAAGCCGGCCAGCGACTTCTTTTATCTGCTGACAATACTCATCAACTAAGTACCACTCGATGATGCTACCATATTTCCGAATTACATATTCATTCGCCGCTTGAGAAACTGGATACCATACAAACCACCGGGCCCTGCCCCGGTACAATTCTGCTATCCCTTGCCCAAACTGGCGCTACTTCTATCAAATCACCCTGCTGGGAACTCCTTCCGTTCCCTTCCCAAACCTAATCCCCTTTCGCGCTGACAAGATAATGCATCCTTCAGCTTCTGAGCAACTCCCATGGACACTCGTCTATACGCACATACACACCGTACCTGGCCCAAACAGCCTCGGGCTGGAATACCAGGCACACCACCGATGGGTTCAGACATCCCTTAGATGGAACCCCACCGCATACAAAACTCATGACTACATCCATACTTGGATCCCAAGGATCTACCCTTGCATCACTTCCGAACTCCTCTGATTCGACATCAGGGCTAATCGTTCCACAACCTCAGCGAACATCCAACCCGGATGTGCTTCCATACAACTGGTACCATCTCAGTGCTCACTATCAATAACCGAAATACTTCCGATCATCCATTTACACTACTGCCTTCCCTTCAGATGACCAATACTCCTTCCCGGAGCCACATACCTTTCCCTTCAATTCTTCAAGGAAGTCTTACTCAACGACCTTTACCACATCACAAGTGTCATGGTGCTAAAACTCCACTTTACACCACCCATGCAGAGCAACTGCTACTCCCTAACTACCATATACTCCGAATCTGATCACACAGCTAACGAAGCCCATGCACGGCCTTTAGCTAACTCCATCATCATGATCAATACTTGGGGCCAGACCTTATCGATTGCTATTTCACGGCGACACACTCACTCATTCTCCGCATACAGGTCTACTAACACATACAGAGTCTTCAGCATGACTGGACCGCCTCACCAGGCCTTCAGCCTATCTGGA